CCCCGAGCGTCGCCGCCGGATCTGGACCCCGGTCCGCGCCAGTCTCGCCGCCGCCCCCCACCCGTGGGAACTCCCCCCGCCTGCTGCCCGCACGCTCGCGGGCCGCCGCCTCCTCCTCCAGGATCCAGACAAGATCTGCTCTCCCCCTCCGGGACCCCAATCCCCCGACCGTGCTCCGGCCGCAAAGAGCCGGGATCACCGCAGACAGAATCTATCTTTGGGAACAAAATACCCACTTTCAGGAGCTCTTCTCCGGACTGGAGAGCCAGAGGGTGGAAATGGACACGCCCACCCGCGGAGCACGCCTCGCGCTGCGGTGATATCCCGGGCACCAGAGCTGGGGGTCCGGGCCTCGCTAGTCCCCCGGAGCAGTGGGGAAGCCCCGGCCGATTCCCGGGTTTCTTTGAGCAGGCGCCTTGGCTCCAGGCCCCTTGGACTCTTTCTTATCAGACGCCGCCTGGACGGGTCGGGGTCCCCCTGGCGGGCTGCGCCGGCGCTGCGCGTGCGGAGCCAAACCAGGCCCGCAGCGGACACTGAGAACGGCGGCTCTGTCTACACTGTCCCGGAGCGCCCAACCGGTTAGCCGCGGGTCTGCGCTGGAAACGGGCTCCAGGAGAGCGGCTTGAGGGCGAGGGTCATGGGCAGACTGGACAAGGGCGAACTGGATCGTGGAGGGCTTCGATGAGCAGTGCTAAGTGTCCACTCCAAACAGCAAAGCCAGAGAGACGTGCAGGTTACTCCTCCCTGCCCCCAATATCCAGGGAGTAGAGACTGTGCCCTATTCATAGAGTAAAATGATATGCTAGTTCCCTCCAATTCGGCGGAGACAGAAGTGATGATTGTGTATATGCAGGTCAATCCAGTAAATAAAGTTTCCCGTAAAACTCTGGATTACGGGATATTCCAGCCACAGCACTGGCACGTGCAGAGTACGCCAGCTCCCTGCGCTAGGAGTGGGGTGTACCCTCGTGTCTCCTGAATGTATTTCAGGTGATGGACTAGAAGGCAAGTATGGCATTCTGGTGCAGTGTATTTGTGTATTCCAATGTGTGATCTGCTGATCTCATTTTCAAGAAGAGTTTGTTTCTGGAGATGAAAAAAGTATTTGTCAGAGAGGGAGAGAGAGAATTCCTTGAAAAACTTTCCACATGTAAAAAAAATCTTGGAAAACAGATATGGCAATGAGGAGAGACTGTAGGAATGGATTTCTTATAGTACAATCTTCCTGTCTTGACTAAGAATTTGAAAATTTGGTACTTTTAGTAAAAATTTCAGTCAAAATGTTAAAAAAAAACAAAAAACTAAAGAGCTTTGGGGGGGTGGAGAGATGAGTCACCCACGGTCTAAACCATCTGTAGTTTTAATTTTACCACACCTGCACCTAGTCCTCTGTAGCCCACAGCCACCTGCTAAACTCTCTCAGGTTTTCTTACACATTTGTCCAGGCACCCCATCAAAGGAGTTTGATTCCACTGGGCCTTCCTTCTCGTCTCTATATTTTGTAAGGAAATACCCTGAAGCCACATTTCTCTATAAAGTTCCTGAGAGTGGAGACCTCCTGGTTATGTTCACTGGTTTCCCAGGGAATGAGTAACAGGCTCATGGTGTCCTTCAAGGTTATTAAACATGACATCCTGTCTAAGACAAGCAGTTATCTAACCATTTTACATGTTGAATGACTGAGGCTTCCTCAAGGAGGGACTGATGAGGGCCATGAAAGATGGAATAAGTACATTCTTATGGCCACAGACACTGATAATTCCTCATTTCTGAACTTAAATTTCAGTGACTCAACCAAAAAAGAAGAAACAGCAGAAAGAAGGACTACATGAGACCACCAAAGGGAATTATTTACGTTTCTCTTGAAAGTAATTACTATTAATCTCAGAAAAACTGGGGTATAAAACGTCCTATAAATAGAGGATTTTCTGCAATTCAGTAGACCAAGCAACTCTCAAGACATTAGTTACAAATTCTTCCTTGGCACTGAGTGCTCAAGGCCAGCTCAGGTAAATTATTTAATCTCTGCTAATGGCCAGTATCTGTCCATCTGCAAAAAGCCCAAGGACTATACCATGCCAGTAATGGATTTTGAATTTAGCTCTGTATCTGCTTTTGAAGTAATGGATGGGACCTCTCACCATCAAGCTGCACTGCACCTCACACATAATATTTTTTGCTGTGTCCTTCTGAGATGTGTAAATTTCCACTGGAACAAGCCCATCTTATAAGAGTGCATAGTGGAGAGAGAGCATTCCTCTCTGTAATTCAAGCTTAACTACCTTCTAACTCGTTTTTCCCATCCCTTAAGTAGGAACAAAGTACCTATTTCAAAGTACTTTTGTATGGATTGAATGAAATAATACATATAAGACTCTTTTTACCTGTGACAGATCCTCAACACATATTTAGATCCTCAACAATAGTTAGTTAAATACACACACACCAAACTTGTTTTAATGATACTAACATAGTAAAAAAGAAGACTCTTCCTCTGGAATCAAGAATTAACTTGAAAAATTGTTGAAATATGAAGATCAACATTTTTATTCTTGGTATGCTATAAATGTAAGCTGAACGGATGCCAATAAATTTTTAATGAATTAATTTTGAAAACATACATTGGAATGAAAAAGAATAAGTATTCTTAAGTAGATCATGTAACAAGGCTAAGGGAAGGCCTATTAGAAATTTTATGTGGAATTATACACATTTTCTTTTGCCATACATGTAGCCCATAGCATCTCCAGACCTGAGAAGTTCTCCTCAAGCAGAAAATAAAAATATCTTCAATGGAAAACAAATGGAGTTGTTTGCAAGACTCTTATCTGAATTACTTTGCTCCAGCTGTGAAATAGATGGATAGTCTTAAAGCCCCTGAGGTTTCTCTGCTGGAAGCCATAGTTGCTGTTTCAATGTAGGGGATAAAGAAGGACAAAGTCAATCAAAGAAAATAATCTATCTGATTTTGTCCTTAAAATATGGAAGTAGGTGGAAGGAATACAGGAGAAACAAAAAGGTAGCAGAAATACATTTTAAAATAAAATTTTAAGGCCATTTTAATTACACTGTGATTTTGGCTAGCATTTTGCCATATTTTAATTTTTTATTTCTCTTTATGTACAATTGACTAATACTTCAGTAGATTTAGCAGCAGAAAGATGTTGCTAATTTCTGTTCATCAAATGTACAAGTAACTGTGCTAACCCCTCTCGAATCGAGGTTTTATAATGTTAAGGCTGTTACGATTACTTAAATATTTTATAAGTTCTGTATTAACCTCCTTATTTGATAATAAACCTGATTCGATTATTTTTACCTGAGGAGAACTGGCAGCATACCTTTTAAAAATGCAAAAGGGGGCACTCTGTCCCTTCTAAATCCCAGTTCCTTCCTCTGGACCGATTTGAACCTATATGGAAGGAAAAATCATCTCATAGCTGATGGCAATTCAAGAAATACTTTTTAAAAAAGATTTTCACTGTGTATTTTGTTACAAAAATCTGCTGACAGAAGATATTAGAGATTTGACGGATATGGTGGAGAACGTGAGAGTGGTAACCCACCTGTGCCACTGTCCATGGTACTGAATCAGTCATTGGGCCTTCACGCCTGGTTGGTCACTCAGAGTGTGGTCTGAGGATGGGCAACATGGGCATCTGGGGAGTTGTTAGAATTGCATTTCAGGCCCAAGCCCAAACCTACTGAATCATACTCTGAAATTAACAGCATGCTCAAATGATTCGTCTGCTCTTTAAAATTTGAGAAGTGCTACACCAGGACACAGTTTGAGTTGCCTTGTGACTTCCCTGATGCTCTGCTTCTACCACCCCTCATTTCAGTCTCCTCCAGAGGCACAGCCCAAATGCTGCCTTTTTAGCTGCATTTAATTTGGTGATAACAGTGTGTTGCTATGCAGAGAACATAGCCTTTGAATCAAACAACTGGATTAAAATCTCAACTTGTACTAACCATTCTGGGCATCATTGTCCTCATCCATAAAATGTCAATAATAATGGTATGTCCTTGTAATGCTGTTTTAAGGATTCAATGGTAATAAAATAGCATTTGTAAAGCCCTTAGTCTGGCACATAGCAGATGTTCAACAAATCTCTCAACTACCGTGTGAGTGCTACATCCTTTACCAAGGAGGGGTGCCCTCTCAGCATCACAGTCTCAGGCATGGTGAAAATTTACTGTAAAACAATTTAATCTCCAATTTATGATTTATCAAATCAATAGTACATCCACATTAAATTAGTTAATAAAATAAAATTTTAAAACTCACGAAATCTTTAGTGTTTCTCCACCCCTAATTATGATCTAGAGCAAAGAAAGACAAGTTCTTTCCTGATAATAATATTAGATTTGTTTTTATTAAATTAGAACAAGATGACTTGGCATTTTGAATTATAGAACGTTATAAATATCTGGATGCCTTAATTCTACTGCCAACAGAAATCTGTACACATGTACAGCTGACTTTGTAAACAGTAATCATTTACACTATGTTTAGACCCTAATTAAGCCACAATGCTAGTAAAATAGAATGCAGTTTAAATTGTGCTATTTAGGAGCCCTGGGAATACTCTTTCACACGTTTATTTTAGAACATGAGGAAATGTTGACACGTTCATTCTTCAAAAGAAATATCAAACTTGATAATCTCTGCTATTACAATAGTCATTTAAGGAGTTTTGACACTTGGTATCATTGCTCATTGTACCACTGCTGATCTGGAAACATCTGTTTCTATAAGGGAATGAGCTATAATGAACGTGAGCACATCAAATCTTCTTTTAAGCACTATGTTCAGTTTTTAAAGTTTCTGAAAAATAACCATTAAAATACCTTAGATATCATTCCTTTGAGCTCTCTCATTTTTGAGTCTATAAACACAAGTTAAGTGCCTGTCTCAGGATTATATAACTGGAAAGAGGTAGGACTAAGCCTAGAACCCAGGTTTTCCTATTCACAGTTCAGTGCTTATTCAACACTCATAAAACATGACCCATGTTAGACTCCTTTACAGTCTTCAGGTGATTGTTTGAGAGATTTTAGCATATCCCTGACAGTGCATGCATTTCCCCAGCCTCACCACACCTCCACACCTAAGGAAGCAGCCTTCTGATAAAATGAGTAGAGCTTCAGTTTTAGATTGTTCATTCATTAACTTGGAAAGCATTCGCATAAGGTATTAGACATTATATTGTGTTAGGGCCATATAAAAATGACAGAGTCAGAGCCCTTTCCCTCATATTTATTGTGGTCTGGTGCGTTTGGAACTTCCATAAGCATATAATTGCAGTAT